CATTTCTCTCATGCTGCAACTCTCGGATGTTGACAAGGTCGATCCTGCCTACAAGTTGTGCAAGGGCCCCTTGATGGCCCTAGCCGCCGCCGTCTGGGACTCCTGGATGCCCCTCTCCATCCTTCGCAGTGGGATCGAGGAAGCCTGGGGTAGGCTTTCGCAACACAACTCCCCATGGCAGAGCATCCGAGGCCCTTTCAGTGCGTGTGTAGCCTCTGCGTTGAGGCTAGGTATTAGCATGCAGGGCCTCCAGTGGCACCACCCGATGATCGGTGACTTCTCTCCTCTCGACCTTTCCCCTCGCACTCTGGGGTTGATCTTCGATCGGTTGGTGGGGGAGTGGATTTGGAAAAGGGTGGCTGACCACTTGGAGTGTCCAGAGTTTGCCCAAGGGGCCCTTTTATATCCCGTCCTGAAGGCTGCCCGCAGCAAAAAGGTCAGCCCTCAGGGAGCAGCATATCTTCGCAGCGTCGTCTCAGGCGATCAGTGGCCTCAGCAGCGCCAGTACGACGCCAATCTCTCGGAACAGTCTTTCTGTTTAGCGTGTCGAGAGGCTCCTGGCACGCTGTCGCACCGCCACCTGTCATGTCAGTATCAGGAGGAGGCGTGCGGAGCCTCGCCACCGTCGTTCGCAGGCCGGCTTGCGCAGGCATGCGTGGATGAGCTGCCCCGACTGCTAGCCGAGCGGCTCCTTGTGCCGATGCCCGTCCTGGACCCCGCTCCTCGGCCTCCAGGGCTCTGGCTCCTCGGGGGTGGCTTTCTGCAGGGCCATGTTTTTCTGGACGGCAGTTTGCGCGACGGTTTCTTGTCGCTGGCCCAGCAGGGCCTCGGCTGGTCCTGCGTTCAGGTTTCCCAGGACTCGTTTCGTGCCGAGGCCATCTTTGCAGGCTCCTTTCAGCACCCCGCTGCGGACATCGATGCCCTCGAGCTTTGGGCGTTCCTGCAGGGTCTATGTTTCTCGCTGCCAGGCACAACTTTTTACAGTGATTCAGGTTTCGTCGTTGACGGTGTGCTCGAGCGCGGCCCAGGGAAAACTTGCAACTCGAAGAGTGCCTGGGCTGAGCTGTGGCGCATGGTGTGGCAAAAGATTGCGGACTGGGGAGGAGTGGGGGGCTTCGACCTGGTCAAGGTCAAGGGGCATGCCACACGTGCCGCCGTCGAGAGCGGCCGAGCCTCGGCCTTTCACAAGGCGGGGAATGATCTCGCTGATGAATATGCGAAGCAGGCCTCCGAATTCTCGCGTCTTCCCCGCTCGGTTCGGGCGCCCTTGGAAGCTCGCATGCAGGTCTTGTCTGAGCTCGCTATCTGGGTGGCCAAAGTTGGGCCCAGCATGGTGGCGATCGACTCCCTTCATATCACCCAGCGGCGCGAGGCGAAGCCCCGCGCCTCGCCGCTGGTCGTCCTGCCGCCTCCCCCCCTCGTCACTCCTCCCTGCCTGCTCTCTGCCGATCTTGGGCACGCCAGAGTTGCGCTCGGAGGCGGCAGGCAGCACATTGTGCATCCTTTTCAGCTCGCTGACACGCGTCAGTGGTGTGTCGCCTGTGCCGTGTGTGGTGCGAGTGGGCCAGGCACGGTGCTGGCCTTGTCGCGCCCCTGCCCTGGGCCTCCTCTCCCCTCCTCGTGGGGCGGGCGTGTCCTGAGGGGGCTTGCGGCGGGGAGGTATCAGATCAACAAGGCCTGGCATCCCCTGTGCCAAGCCTGGGAGACTTGTCGTCTCGTCAGGGCTGGCGGAGCCGGCCCTGTTTCGCCAGCGCCCGCAGGCCCGTGCGCGCCCGCAGGCGCGCCAGAGGCTGATGCAGCAGCAGGCCAGCGGCAGCAGCGGCTCGGCGCCGCCCGCGCTGCCGCCGCCTGTGCTGCCGCTGTCGCCGCCGCCACCGCTGTGGAGCGGCTGGAGGAGGGCGAGGAAGCGTAATTCGCTTGGTTTTGTCGGTGGGTAGGATCGAACCTGCCCGCAATGTCGAGTCTAGGAGGAGGAGGAGGAGGAGGAGGAGGAGGAGGAGGAGGTGGGGGAGGAGGAGGGGGGAAGAGGAGGAGGAGGAGGAAGGAGGAGGAGGAGGAGGGAGGAGGAGGAGGAGGAGGTAGAGGACGAGGAGCGGAGGCACGAGGAGGAGGTAGGAAGGAGAGTGAGGGGGGGGGCGAGGAGGTTAGGTAGGTGGTTGAGGAGGGAGGAGGAGAGGGAGGAGGGGAGGAGGAGGAGGAGGTGGTGGTGGTGGAGTAGGAGGCGGAGACCGGAGGAGGAGGAGGAGGAGGGGCGGAGGTAGGAGGGGAGGAGCCTGGGTGAGGGGAAAGAGGAGGAGGAGGAGGAGGAGGAGGAGGAGCAGGAGGAGGAGGAGGAGGAGGAGGAGGTAGGAGGAGGAGGAGGAGGAGGGCATGGGGAGGTGGTTGTGGGTAGGAGGAGGAGGAGGAGGAGGAGGGAGGAGGAGGAGGAAGAGAAAGGAAGATAATGGTGATGAGGGAGGAGGAGAGGAGGAGGAGGGAGGAGGATGAGGAGGATGGAGGAGGGAGAGGAGGAGGGAGGAGGAGGAGGAGGGAGGGAGGGAGGGAGGGAGGGAGGGACGGGAGGAGAGACGAGGGAGAGAGAGAGAGAGAGAGAGGGAGGAGGAGGAGGAGTTGGAGGAGGAGGAGGAGGAGGAGGGGGAGGAGGAGGAGGAGGAGGAGGGAGGAGGAGGACGGGGAGGGAGGAGGGATTATGATGATGCTGATGATGATGATGATGATAATGCTGATGCTGCTGCTGATGATGATGCTGATGATGATGCTGATGATGATGATTATGATGATGATCATGATGATGATGATGGGAAGGAGGAAGTGGAGGAAAAGGAGGAGGGACACGACGGGGAGAGAGGAGGGATTATGATGATGCTGCTGATGATGATGATGATAATAATAATGCTGATGCTGCTTCTGATGATGATGATGCTGCTGATGATGATGCTGATGATGATGATCATTATGATGATGATGATGATGATGAGAAGGAGGAAGTGGAGGAGAAGGAGGAGGGACACACGCGTGGACACACGCGTAACGGTAAAGTAGTGCATCATGTTGATGCATATTGCAAGTCACATCGATTGCAGGTACGATCCAGTTATTCAGCTGAAACACTGGCAGCCGCTCATAATCTTGAGGACTGTTATCCTACCACACTTGCGCTACATGAGTTTAAAGTTAGACCCCTAACACCCATTCAACTGAAACAAAACACATTCTGGAGTTAGGTGGTTTCAGCATTAAGGCCATCCTTGCCATGGACGCTGAGTCGGTCTTCAAATCCTTGTCAAATGAGGACTTGGAGAAACCGACCGGATGTGCCCTGTTGGAACATTGCAGCTGGATAAGACAGATGATGGACCGAGGTATTCTTCATAGCGTGCACTGGTGTGATACACGAGATATGACCGCTGACGGTCATACAGAAGGACGCACCGATCGGGCGTTACTGCTGCAAGTGATGGAAGGAAATCAATTCTTCAATTGCGATGTAAAGAAATATGTGCCCTAAAGAGGCAAGAGTGATACAGCCCCAACATAGGGGCTCCGAGTGCAGGGCCAGTGGACACCTATGCGGACGACTACCCAAACTTGAACATGTAGTTATCCTTGTCCTGACACGGGCACGTATACTTACAAACTAGTCATCCTCGCCTGGGCACAGGCCTAAACACCTAAAGCGTCACAGCTGCCATGGGTTCCCGGACACGGGCAGTAGTCCTCTAACTTCAAGAGTGGATCTGACCGCTGGGCCACATCCCCATCGACCACTGCACGCTTTGATGGCTGGCATTTGGCCAGTCGTCCCCCCTTTAATCATCTGCGGATGGTCATGCGGACTTGCCCGTGACCATCCCTAATTATTTGTGGTTGGCCGTGGCAATAGACCATTGCCAGTCCTGATGCTATGTAGTGTTATTGCTGTACTTGCCTTGGCACTGCTGGAGATGTTGTAAAACAGTGCCTCCTTCTTTTCTCTTTACTTAGTACAACGAGCGTTCGGCCCCTCCCCTCCCGGCTTTTAACGAGGCTTAAGGAGAGGCTGCGTAGTGAACGCTGTATCCGACGCTGTCTTGGCTCAAGGCAGCGCTGTCCTACATGCCAGGTGCGCGCGACCCTGTGCGCTTCTACTGAAATCGTAGCAACGGACAAAGGCCACGTCCTTCTATGATCCATCCCCGTGGCTCCTCTCGAATCTATCCTCTCGCTTGCCATCAAGGGACGGGTTGTGGGATGCTTCGATACGTCGTCGACGTTATCCTAAGAGTCGGGTTCTCAGCTTAGTACGTCATGGTCAAGCCTGACACCCTTACTTTTCGCTCGTGATGCCGCCTCGCGGCAGTTGCCAGGGGCTGCCCTTCAGCCCGGCTTCGCTCCCGCGCGCTCGCCGCGGCCCCGCTGCGTGGGAGTGCCCCCGCGCCCTGCCCGTCCTCCGCGGCCGCCCCCTCGCCTCTCCCGCTCCTTCTTGCTTGCGGGCTAGTTCGCTACTCCGTGTACCGGTTTCGCTCGGCCGCGCGAGCGGATTGCCTCTGCCGCGCTCTGGACTTGACGAAGTGCGTGAATCATGTTTGCGCGCCGAAGGTTTTGCGCTTGGTTGCCCAGGTGCGTTGAGTTTTTTGCTTCGGGTCCCGCGAACGCAGTGCGCCAGCAACCGTAGCCCTCCAGTTTCCCGCCCCCCCCGTCCACTCGCTCGGCTTGCTTTTTTTTGGTTGTGCTCAGCACCGGCGCTGGTGTCTCCGTGGGTCTACTCAGGCCAATTCAGTGCAATCCCAATGTAACCGCGGCCAATTTGGTTTATAATCCGTCGGGTTAGTCCGAGAATGTGTTGTTCCGCCTAATTATTTGTAGTCGCCCCCGCAAGAACTTCCCAGCAGTTGTCGATTGACCTTGCCAGTTAGGGAGCGATGAAAAATATAATTGACACGCGCGCCGTTTTTCAAAGTGGGCGCGGTACCCATTCGCCACCCTCTGTCCCCATGCCCCCTGCCGCGATCTCCCCGGAGGCTGGCACGCCGAGGACCCCACGCAGCTTAGCGTCGACCAGGGCGAGTTTGTACGGTGCGCGGGGGCGCGCTGGATCGTCCTGGCTTGGTGGGGCAACGGCGGCGAGTGATGGGGGGAATTGAGAAGGGGAAGGCCTTCTCACAAGGCTGTGAAACTTCTCATAAGGCCTCGCGCCTTCTCAGAATTTGTTTGTGTCTTCGGGGAAGGCTTGGCAAACTTTTCGGAAGGCCGGTGAACTCCCGAGCCTTCTGAGAAGGCCTGCCCTTTCTCACTTCCTCAGTGGGCTCGCCGCCGAGGCACAGGTGGGGGAGTATCGTCCCCCAAACGCCTAGTCATCGCCAAACTGTGGGCCACGGCCTGCCCAGCATGATGTGCGGTGTCGCTATAGTGTGCCTGTCGCTGCTCTATGTCGGCGATGCATCGCCGATTCCGGGTCATCAGTTCTCCTTCCCCCCCCGTACGGTCGGACCGAGGTATATAAGATCGAGGTCGGTTCGGGCGGGGTACCCAAATGTTGTCGTGTTTATTAGGTAATCTTGTGCATCCTGCGGAAGGGTACCCTGGGACGTTCTGTGTGTTTTGGCTGGTGGAGGGTCTCATGTTCTTGACGGATGTTTTTCTGTCCGTGTTCGAGATGCATTTTGCCCCACCAAAGGGAGCACGACGAGGATCAGACGCCGCCGCAATTGTTGCAAATGCAGGGTCGCCTGTTCCGCGGGGCATGAGCACCAACACGGAGGGGGGGGTGCAAACACCGGGGGGGGGAGGAAGAGAGGGGTGCGGGGTGATTAGGGATAAGGGGGCGGGCGGGCAGGTCGTTCGCGAGAAGACGGGGGTGCAGACGAGAAGCACGAAGGGGGACTGGCGCGAAGATGGAGGCAGCGCGCGGAGATCACCGAAAGTGCCAGCGCGTGCCCGAAGCGATCCATGCGAGGAGCGGCCGAGCTCGCTCTGCCCCGAGCTGTCGCCAACCCCTGTCGCTCGTCTGGCCAGCGGGGACCTGCATGCGCCTTGCCTTCTTCCTCTCCTCCTCTCCTCCGTTCCTCCTCCTCTCCTCTGTTCCTCCTCCTCCTCTCCTCCTCCTCTCCTCCTCTCCTCCTCCTCCTCCTCCTCCTCTCCTCCTCCTCTCCTCATCTCCTCCTCTCCTCCTCTCCGCCTCTCCGCCTCCTCTCCTCCTCTCCTGTATTCTCTCTTTGCTGGGTCGCCCTCAGAGGCTGGTCTTGCTCCCGTCGTGGATCTCTCTGCACCCCGGGAGCCAGCGAGCACGGAAGGCAGATAGGGGGCAGGGGGAGGAGAAGGACCGAGACCTCTTTTTTCGATGCAGAGCGCGTTTGAAAACACTCGAAGTAGCTCCTGCGGTAGGTGGGCAAAGTCGGTCCGCAGCGCGCATGGCAACATGGGTCGGCGTAGGTAGCTCCGCGGGAAAGGGCTGCGAACCCGATTGCAGAAAATAGCTTTCAGGGGAAAGGATTGCGAAACCAATTCTAAGAAGGAGCGGTCGAAGTAAGGTTTGCGGGAACGCATTGTCAGAAGTACTTTGTTGAGATAGGAGGAGGAGGATGAGGAGGAGGAGAAGGAAGAGGAGACGGAGGAGAGGATGAGGGTGCGGCGGCGGCGGAGGCGGACGAGGACGAGAACGAGGGGGTAGCGGTAGGTTCCATTGCCATCTCTTTGGGAAGTGCGGAGGCACAGCGTCAAACCGTGGTGTTTGGGCTCCTACCAGGAAGGCCAGGTTGGTCTCGGGTCGTGACGGAAAGCTCGGCAACGCTGTTGCGGGATCTGAGGCAGGCTTGCGCGCTCCTGATCAGGCGCGGGCTGCATGTCGGGCGGGGCGCTGCGCTTCGTGGCCCCATAGGGAGCTCCACCGAAGGCTCCAGTGGCACAGGCCGCATGCGTCAACGCCACCCAGGACAGCGTTTCGTGGCCCCACAGGGAGCTCTATCGAAGGCTCCAATGGCACAGGCCGCATGCGTCATTGACAACCAGGACAGCGCGTTGTGGCCCCATAGGGAGCCCCACCAAAGGCTCCAGTGGCACAGGCCGCATGCGTCAACGCCAACCAGGACAGCGTTTCGTGGCCCCACAGGGAGCTCCACTGACGGCTCCAGTGGCACAGGCCGCATGCGTCAACGCCACCCAGGACAGCGCTTCGTGGCCCCAAAGGCAGCTCCACCGAAGGCTTCAGTGGCACAGGCCGCATGCGTCATTGACAACCAGGACAACGTTTCGTGGCCCCATAGGGAGCTCTACCGAAGGCTCCAATGGCACAGGCCGCATGCGTCAACGACACTGAGGACAGCGTTTCGTGGCCCCACAGGGAGCTCCACCTAATCCGGTCCACAATGCGGTATTCACAACTGCACATGGTTGGGTCCTCCGTCAGGCTGGTTATTTTTCTTCGCCGCAGTCTCACTGTTATTTCTATCATCCTCCTTCTTCGTCGTAGGACCATTCTTCCCACCACTTAGTCAGATTGTCTTATCTCCCCTTTCACTCGAT